TACAGCTTTCGAAATAACTATTTTATAGTAGTTTGATTTAACCTTCGGCCTTAAGTTGAAAATAAGTGCCTCATATCATTAATTGGAAAAAGTATCAATTATGGTATTTGTAATGAGTTGCATGGTTCTTTAACTCGGTACATTTCAAAATCGTTTAACTCGGTACATTTCATATAGTTGACTATGACGCAATCTATCATGTAACTGCTGTTGTGGTAGTCGTGTGGTAAAGGAAGCGATTCCTACGGAAATTGATCAAACGACGGCGAAAACGTTGGCGGCCGCGGAAAAATTCACACGTAATCAGATAAATATATCAATGTGTTTGTGTCTGTCAAAGTAAAATGTCTCAGGTAACGCGTCAAGTAATTCATTTTACGGGCTCGATGAATGTTAGGGGACAGACTCGAAATTCCCGAAAATTCCTGAAGGCGCGGAGCTTACAGTGTAGGGACCTCCCCAAGACAATTTGGAAGATTTGATGTCCGCAAACATGTTTTCCTGCTATTCCAGCCCAACAGCAACTTCAAAGTTAGTGGTCTAACATAACCTAACTTAGGTGGCTGGCTGACCTAACTCCAATCAACCAATCAATCGTTTATAATACAGTTCACAGAGACGCGACCGTCGGGAGAAAATTATGAAAATTTAACTACCGCAAACGTGTTTTCCTGCTATTTCAGCCCATGAATACACCAACTTCAATGTGGTCGAATACAATAGGTGGCTGATCTGAAACCCAAACAACCAACCAATCGTCGCTGGGTATAAGGGTTACGCTCTCCTCGGCAAAATTTAGAAAAATTAACAGCCGCAAATGCGTTTGTCAGCAATTCTAGCTCGTAAGTTAAGCAACTTCAAAGTTGCCCAATCGATTTGAAAACGAAATCTAATCGATGCCCGAAAAATGTCGCACAAAGCAGAGTGGCTTCAAACAAAATGTTTTAATCTATAGCCAATTCAGTACAAATTCATGGTATTCAATTAAAAGAAAAGTAAAATAAAAAAAAATTTCCACTTTACACTCCTGCTCGAAAAGTCAGATTGTCCGCGAGTTAGAGGGTAGCTGCCCCCCCCCCCCCCCCGGCTCGTACGCCTATGCCCCTATGATACAATCCAAATACTTTTTCTTGGGCATGTTATATTTATGGCACGACTTTCATCAGTTAACAGGTTTAACAAGAGGCCGTGAGTTACAGGCCATGGTACACGCTATATTAATTAACAGGGGGTTGGATAGCCAAATGGTTAGCGCTTGCGCATTGCATCATAAGGTCTGTCATTGAGTCAACTGGCGTGGTTTCGATTCCCGTGATGTACGTGACAAGGAGTAGGGTAGCCTGTCCAACCTCGTGGGGTTTTTTCCGGGTGCTCCGGTTTCCTCCCACTGCTAAAGACCTCTACGCGCAAGCGAATTACCCTTATATTTCATAAATCGAACGGGTATCAGAAAAAAAAGTTTGGTAAACAACTGTATTATAATATTTATATAAATTTGGACGTTTATTTATAGATATAGTTTCGTATTACTAACCATGGCTGAATATTTGCTAGATACTGACTGATGTGTAAACTATGAGCATATACATGTACATACATATTGAATTATCTAACTAAATAAACTATCTGCTGTTTTTTAACTATATTATATACAGTAAAAACATATGTTGATAAAAGATATAAGTTAACCATCAAATTTACTCATTTCATACCTGGCCTACTGTTTAAAACGCCTGTATTTTGATTAAATAATACCAGAGACACACCCATTTTGATAACAACAGACATTTATATCTTTACTATGACGTAAATTTGATCATAAATAATCCGTCGTGTTTTAGGCGTTGTTCCTGGCTTATAGATATAAAAATATCTGACTTCTCACAATCTGGGAATTTTTAAATTTCATGTTAAAGGCTCAATACCACTCTTGTTGTAACTGAATAATATGTCCCAATCTTTATTCTGGTCAACAAATTGTACTAATTTAGAATATTTCAATTAATTGATGATACAAATTTCATCTTAACACACCTTATTTAAAAATTTTGAAAAATTCAACATAATGGTTTGAAACGTCTAACGTAAACCTTTTCAAATGAAACTTCGATTTAAAAATATTTTCGAACCCTCTGGACAAGTAAAATAGGATGTAATGGATAATTTACACAACAGGTAGGACACTTAAACATCTAGTACTTTGATAGAGATATTATTTTCTGGAGCTGTCAAGCCAGCAAGAGTGTTAATGTCCCTTTACGAAACAAATTTTTGAAAAAACGAGAAAGGAGAAGAACGCTAAATTATTAATTAGACATTAATTAACCTATCCAGACCATAATCAGTTCTGGATGGCATCGCTAGCCTGCGATCTTTAGTGGATTATGAGCCGATTTACTGCATAACTTTCCTTCGCGATTTAACGATTAATTGGATAATCGAGACTATGCTGTTTATCGTACTGACTTCAGTAATGATGATCAAGGCTAGGCGGAAATTTCAATCGCTTATAGTTCTCGGTTCATAGTGGATCAATTTGAATGAAATTTTCAGCAAATTGCCTTTACACTATCTAGTTTTTAACCATTATAGTGAGAACTGCCAATCTTTAATATATAAATTCCGGTAAGCTCAACTTAAGCAATATTCTTACCAAAATTCATCGAGATCCTTCATTAGAAAAAAATTGGTAAATTAAAAAGGATTTCAGATAAATTATAATTAAAAACACCGGAAGAACCCACAACATTTCTTAAATAAATACAGGATTTGAGATTCCTGTAAATTGATCTCATTCAACTTTAAAATATACATAAATTTGTTACTCCATTTCATGTTCACTTGTCACCTACAGGGGTAAAATAAACATTCTGAATTCTAATTAGGATATTTTATACGCTTTTCGGTCCCTTATGACGTAAGCAACATGTTCATTTGTACGGAATCACACGCTAATCTTTCTCGCGTTCAGCTTTTAGTGAATCAGTTGTAGAAAACATTTTGCATGTAAATCCCTTGCCAAAATAAGATATGCTAAGCATGTAAACACAAACAGGTATACTTATCTAAATATAACAATTACAAATACAGCTGAAAAAATAGACAGGCATTCAGACACACAAATTTTGCATGTACAGTCAGTGGCGGCGCCTGGTCTGCCCTCTGTTTGCCCCCCCCCCCCCCAATAATTTTAGAAAATAAAAAAAGTATTTGTGATACATTTCGGTAATCAATACCTTCTACGGTGAATAAATGCCACATCCCCACTCAGTCATAAACTTGCATGTTGTAGAGCATTTCCGACAGTCTATTTTTCAAAATTTTCTTGGCGAGGTCCACAATGGACTCGCTACTTTGGCGCTCACAAGGGGAATTCGTTGAGGTTCACAAGTCCGTTCGTTTGACATTTTTTTCTCTAGTCGGATAAACTAGTGATCAGGCGACGGACGGTATCTGGTCAGATCTATTTATCTCGACGATCGGTGCCTGGGAATACTGTAAGACAGTATTTCCGGCAGTCTATTTTTCAAAATTTTCTGTCGGAGGACTCCCTACTTTGACGCTCGTGAGTGGGCTTCGTCGTGATTCGCAAGTCCGTTCGTTTGACACTTTACCTCATCGATCAGTGCCTGAAATACTGCCAGGTTGCATTTCCGGCAACCTGTATTTTAAAATTTTCTGGGGGAGGCCCCCTACCCCTAGTTGAAGCTCGTGCCTTTGCCCCCTTAACCTTGGACTTTGCCCTAGCTTTGCCCCTCCAATCACCGACGGCTGGCGCCGCCACTGTGTACAGTAGATGAGAATGTAAACATGTTTCTGCACTTTTGATTAAAAATACCCCAACTGTTTTGTGACGTTGGTGATTTGTATCAGTCGTACACACTCCGTCCCACGTGCCTTTTGTCCTATAATGACATAAAAAAAATGAGGTAATATTGCGTGTGTACTATTCAGTAATATATAACCTCTGTAATGTTGTCGTTGTAAACTAGCACTAGTAATGTTGTCGTCGTAAACTACCACCAGTATGTTGTTGTAAACTGGCACCAGAGATGTTGTCGTTGTAAAGTGGCACCAGTAATGCTGTTATTGTAAACTATCACCGGTAATGTTGTCGTTGTAAACTAGCACCAGTAATGTTGTCGCTGTAAACTAGCACCAGTAATGTTGTCGCTGTAAACTAGCACCATTAATGTTATCGTTGTAAACTAGCACCAGTAATGTTATCGTTGTAAAGTAGCACTAGTAATGTTGCCGTTGTACTATTCAGTAATACTGCCGTTGTGGGCCTATTATTTAGTAATATTTCCGTTGCGAAGGGGAAAGCTAAACCCACAATAATTGACAAAAACATTTTAAGGTTTAATATCGTTTTTCAACGTCTTATTCTGTGGCACGGGATCTGTATTTTGAGTTTTGAGTGTGTGTGTGTGTGTGTGGTGTGTGTGTGTGTGGGGGGGGGGGGGTGTTGACGATTTCTGAATAGTGAGGAAGCTGATTCATCGCGTGAATTAACTACAGGCGTTTGCAAACTTTCAATATATATATATATATATAGGAACCATGTGACCACTGATGAGATGAGCTCATAGGTAGGCCTACATTAGATCCCTCGAAAAATGTGAGATGGCAAACTATACCTGTAAAAACTGGTCGGCTAATGCCAATCGCCAACCGCCAACCCAGCCTACTGGGTTACCGCGCAACTGCTTATTTCGGTCCTGTTTTTAAGGCTTGTATTTTGAAATTTGTGCATCGATATCGCTTATCAGTGAATCATTTATAGAAACTCTCATAGAACAGTCGAAGATCGTTCTTTGGAAGGGTAAATGATTTTAAAAATTATAAATTATCACAAAAAACAGAACCTTTGAATAATGAATAATGACCAACAAAAAAGGCTCTGTATCTTTCTGGCTCTACTCTGGCTGTCAAAAATTCCACGAAAAGAGTCACGTTTTCTTCTTGGTAGTTATGAATTTATGCAAATATCATTACAGATGATGGAGAGGATTCATTTGATTTTCCATTCCTACCTGATTTCAATAGCCAAGGTGGAGGTGATGGTCAGTCAGTGTTTGCAACACCAGATGGGTTTCCAATCAACCCCGAAGATTTTGGTCTCGACTGGGAGACTATATTAAATGAACCATCTATCACAGAAATCCACGAAAATCTAACATCTCTCGAAAAATCCGTAGTAACGGTTAAAGACGAACAATATGAAATTAGGCGAAGTCTTAACCGTGTTTTGGAAGAAATGGGAACTTTAAAAGCGGACATGGATATATTTCAAAAAGTCATGAACGATTCACTGACCAGTGTTATGAAAGCTCTTGTAAAATACGACAGGAGTTTAAAAGAAGGAAAACGTACGAGTGAAAAATTACAACGCCGAGTTAGTATTATAGCTGAAATGCCAGGTATATTTATAATATTTTACACTTTAATATATAGGTTTGCCTGTTAGACGGCTATATACACATTATACACCCCCTGGAAGTATTTTGAGGAATCTCGATTTCTTTTGGCATACTAGGCACTGTCTAGTTTTTTATTGTTACTTCATTTCCTTTCAATATTTCACCCATAGGCGCACGAACTCGATGACTGTTATGGGACAGAGCTCGAAATGCCCGAAAAAATTCGGATTGGGACCCCCCGACCCCACCTCCCCCGCAAAATTATTTTAAAAAATTGGAAAATTTGACGACCACAAACGCGTTTTTCTGCTATTCCAGTCCGTGAATACAGCAACTTCAAAGTGGTCTAATAAGCTTAATTTGGGTGACTTGCTCGAATTCCAATCAACCAATCTTTTACAGTTCACGGAGACGGGACCGTCGGCAGACAATTTTGAAAGTGTAACAGCCGCAAACGCGTTTTCCTGCTATTCCAGTCCATGAATACAGCAACTTCAATGTGGTTCAATATAGCCTACCTTAGGTGGCTGACCCGAATCCCAAACAAACAAACAATCGTCGCGGGGTATGGGGGCCTCACCCTCCTTGAGAACATTTTGAAAATGTAATCGTCGCAAATGCGTTTTTCTGCTATTCTAGCCCGTGAGTTAAATAACGCCAAAGTTGTCCAAGGGTCTTGTAACCGAAATCCCACTATATGCCGACCCGAATTCCAACCATCCAATCGCACTGTTGCATCTGCATTCACAAATAATAATCGATGCCCGAAAATGTTTTAATCCAATTAAATTCGTGGTATTCAATTAAAAGAAAGCTAAAAAAATAGTGTTTTATTAGATTTGGGGCACTTTATTTTGCCAACTAGGAGAAATAATAATTTTTTTTTTTTTTTTTTAATTGTCCCGTCTGCCCGAAAGGTCAGATTGCCCCCTGCCCCGTACGCCTATGGTTTCACCGAACCATGTAATCATAAGAACTAAAGATGTCAATTTATACAGTCAAGGATAATAAGTGACTGTATAAATATTATTGTATAAATATTATTGTCACCTCGTAAGGTCGAGTTCGTGGATATCAATCATCATGGATAGCTCCGCTCATGATTTGGAATTCTGTTGTCGTAGTTCAGAATTAGACGCACGAATCAAATATATTTATTCATTTCTTTTTTTTATTTTCGAATTCAGTAAATAAAGAACAGATATTGTATATGAGAAATGTATCTGATACAACCAAAGACTACACAAAGAAACATATCAAGAAAGTCCGTAAAAAGATGAATTCGTTGGAAGAAAATTTATCAAAACTTCGTTTATCATGGGGTAACAGAATTAGGGATGTTTCTAGTATGGTGAAAGAAGTGCGTGGCGCAGGAAAAGATCACACGGCAGCCATAGCTTATCTTTCATCAAATGTTTCATCTTTAAGAAATGGAGTCAACGGTAAAGGTTATAATTTTCATGATAAAACGAACCATTTTAGCATGTGAATATGTACTATTTAAAATTGAACTGTCATTTACATTAAAGAGTAGAATGATACATTTGTAATAACCCACTGCACCTTTCCTCAGGTAGACCATCTCTTGTCACAACTTGACAGTTTTTGCGAAAGTGATGGTTCTGATACTGAAGCTCTTGTCGTTACATACCAGTGACCGCGGTGTGCTGCGGGAGCTCACAATCGGCCATCAATGTTTCGGGTTGATTCAGGGGAGAGAGAGAAATGGGGTTTAACGTCCACTCGACACAAACTAGGTCATTTCGGGACTAACTTATGTTTATTTGGGTTTTTTTTTATTTAAATAATTCGCTTGCGCGTGGGGGTCTTTAGCAGTGGGGGGGGGGGCGGGGGACCCGGTGAAAACCCACGAGGTTGGACAGGCGACCCTACTCCTTGTCACGTACAACCGGGGATTCGAAACCACGCCAGTTGACTCAATGGCATGGCTTATGATACAGCGCCCACGTGCTAAACTTTCGCGCCCCCCCCCCCCCCCCGGGGTTGATTCGGAGATATTTACTAATATTAAACAGTGGGGAAGTTGAAAAAAACTATAGCAGATTGTTACATAGAGACATAATTCTGACAATAATCATCGGAAATTGTTGAAAATCAATACAAACTGTGTATAAATCGGAAAGGAACTTTGGCCTCTAGAGCGCCCACAAGCAATTGGGACGCCGCACAAGGCAATTTGCCAATCCAAATACCGAGTTCATGGGGTTGTCGATCCAGCGTTGCACGCATGCCCTCTATGGACCTCTCTAGGGTTTCCCAAACTCGCCCTCCACCCCACCCCGACCGCCCACGTTAAAGATCTTTGCTTCCGTGTGTCCATGTGGGACCTGCAGTGACCTTGGAGTAGTAGCATGCTATTTATTAGTGAAATCCTCAAATAGAAGACACGTTATACAATCAACTTTTGCCATTTGAACAATATCGTACGTAGTTTCCACAGTATCGTGCGTGATTAACCAGTTCGCCCATTATAAGCTTTAATTTATTGTCTGTTTCAGTTATAGAAAGAGCTTCCAGTGGTATATCACATACTCGGGCTTGTAAGTATAATTAGAATGCAATAGACCGCATGTCGAAATTATTTTTGGTTGCCTGTAATATTTGTTGGAATTTCGCAAGCAAAATCACTCAAATTAATGTTTCAGTCATGCATCACTCACACTCCTATTTTCTTTCTTTAATTGACAACACAATATAGCTCCTTTATTTTTTAGAACGATTTCATTTGAGTACAACAGGTTATAAGTGCACATTGACCAATTATACGTGCGTTATAACAATATGAATCAAGGGTCATTATATAGCTATATAGTACAAATAGCTTTAAAAGTGGGTGTTAATGTTTAAAATCGGTTGTAATTCTTACGATTTTGTTTAATTTCGGGTGTCTAATATGCAATTTGCCCATTAGGCGGTATATTTGACTGGATTTAAGCCATTAATTAAGGAGGAAACGTCAGTAAAAGATTATATTACTTTTTCCGTTCTCACCATATATCTATATATTAATAGTTCAACATTTTATATATTCGGTGTTACTTCTAAAAGAAACTTTTAGACCACAATATGCCAATAAGGTTTGTCTAACCCTTTGAACAATTGTATTTCCATGGGAATTATCACTGAAACTATTTAATACCAGAAAACATCTAAAGGCATATATAAATGAGTACGTCCGATTAGCAACAGACGGTACCCTACATTTTTAAATAAAAACTGAATCAAGAGAAATAACAAAAATGTAATAATGTTACTACTGTCTGTTCCAGGCGACACTACGACTCGAAAATTGCTTGCTATTTCTTCAATTTTTAATTAAAATTGTTAAAACTTAACGACCTACCTGGAATTGTCATCCCTTTACTTTCTACCGCACGTTAACTAATTTCAGATCAAGCTATATAACATTTCTGTCTTGAAAAATCGTTGTTTATTTACTTCGCGGTATTGAAGACAGCCATGCTTGACCTAGTTATCTGGAATAAACCAAATCCAACAGGGGTGTGGATTTGACTTTGGGTCGTTTCGTCCTACTTGCATGTTTAAATAGTTGTTTCGACCCAGTAGAATATAACTTGCTTTAATGAGCTATTTACGGGAGGTAATATATGAATTTGCTATTTGGTTTCAGACCACACTTGTTTGCTCCACTGCCTTAGATATTAAATTGGCGGCCCCAGTCTGGTGGCTTTCGGAAATTGATATAAACTACATACAAAGTGTGACCTAATATTGTAGTGACACGTCATGGAAATTTAGAAGTATCTAGCTTTGGGATAATAGATATATAACTGTCGCTTTTATTTTGCTTTGTACGACTTTTAATACTATTTTCTTGGGTTTTTTTTTCTTTCTTAAAAGTTTTAATCCAATTGAAAAGGGGGCGCTCCTAAGATATTTTTATAGATAGCCTACTCTATTTCTTGTTTGATTTAGTTTTTTTTTATTTTGTGAAATGCCCCTAACCAATCGATAATATGATAGAAAACGCAACGGGGTAGTAGCCACACAAGGTCAACTCCTGATAGATCAAGGGCACGTAATTCCGTTTTTGTGTTCAGACCACGGGTGTTTTTTTTACATTTAATTTATTCATATTGATTCGTCGTGAACTAAATTAAATTTCTGCCAGTCTACCTGTTAAACAAGAAAACGGAAAATAAATTGTTTTATACAAAATCATTTATTTACACAAACTCACAGAAAATGCTCCAACTATATACAATATAAATTATAGAAGTTGTCTGGCCTACATTCACGCTATCTATCATACAATTTACGCAAACAATCTACACACTTCACCACACTTGCACTTACATCAATCTCTTTCCCTGTACATTTGACATGCATCCACCTTTCACACAAATCACAGCCCACCCAATCCACAATCGCATCCGACTCACTTCCCGGTGGGTTCTCACAATCACATACACTACACACATTTTTATCATCATCACTCGAATCTTCATTCGCAACACCACCGCCATCCATATTCTCAGTAACCTTTTCACTATCACTCTCTCCACTGACATTCTCGCCCAAATCTTCACTCTCACACCCAAACTCGCTGTCAATCCCGAACGAAAATACGGATGGTGGTACTTCCTCATTCAATCTTCCCGCTTCCTAAAACCGATCCTCCACCTTGTCTATGACGTGTTGACATGCCTTAGCCCAGTCTGTAGTTGTCACACTAGCCTTGGCCTAAAGGAACAGACGTTTAACGTCTTTGATTTTGAAAGTGGTATTTTTTCGGGCGACATAGGCCTTTTCTTGTGCTAAAATGAAAATATTTTTGGTTTAATGTGGATAAACTTTAAAATGTTATAAGATGTAGTAAAGGCTTCCATAAATGAATGTTTTAACCCTTTTTAACATCACAGATAAGACAAGATTTATTATCTTTCAATGTCGTCAACTTGACTGCCGTCCAAATTGCAGTGTTAAGTATTACCTTGAATTATCTCTATTGGGTTTAACTCGCAGTGCCTTACTGGTAACCCCGATCAACCGAACCAGCATCTAAGATGATCAGTCTTGATCCCTTACCAGAAGGAATGAATCTATCGCATTCATTGCAGTTTGGAAGAATTATGCCCAATGACCCTATAAATATAATAACATATGATTAAAATATGTCTATCCATAGATACTACATTAAAAATATAAACTTGCATAAGTATACGTAATAAGAAAGCAATTAAAAAAGTCATTACCTTTCCTGTTTTCTGTCCATGTTCCATGGATGGCTTGGTTAGCATTTACCATGTTTCATCCAGGTATATAATTTCATAGCCTTCACTCCTAAAAATATCCAACTTTTGAATAAGTAATTGAGTTATACAATTTTGTTCGACAGACTAATCTAATATTTTCATAAAATAATTATTAAAAACGTGTGAACGTATGGAAAACTTGCCTATACTTGCATAGGTTTCTTAAATAGCTATTTCGGGCAGCAACAATATCAGCAGTTTCTTTCGCGTATCTTTTACCGTGATTTCTGTAGTACTTGAATCCCATTTCATTGATTGCCCGATAAAGAGTTGTTTTTGATAGTTGTTCATCTTTCTCTCTCAAGTGGCGTTGTAAAATGTGTAATGAAACCTTCAATTATATAGACAATTATGTAGACAATTATTACATCAAGGTTATGTAATGCAGAACATGGCATATGTGTAAAAGTCGAAGAGCAATGATGAAACATATTTAAATGAACTGCACTTACATACTGGCCATTGCCGTGTAGTTTATGGATGGTCTCTCTTATTGTCATCAGGTCAAAATTATCTAATTTTGTTGAACATTTGTTGACCTTGCTTTTTTTATTTTCCTGCGTTGTAGATGATTCATTTTTGAAAGCCCCGTACACGGATTTTAAGGGTATATTCAATGCGTAAGCAATCTCTTTTTTGGAACTTTTATAAAATTCATTTTAATCTGTTTCTCAAAATAAGTAAATAAACGATTGATACATTGGTTCACATCTCGCGTAATCTTCATCTTGAAATTGTAAATAACAATAATCACTTACCCAGTATCCACCTTCTTATATACACACATCATCGTGCACTTGCAAATGCATGTGATGAAAGGATGATCCATTATTCAAGGAATTATATTTTCTGCGATTCGTTTTTTTTTTTATCTAATCTACGACAATATCTGAAACAAATCTTGTGTGCCTGTGGAAAGCGAATATAAATAAAAAAATAGATACCGATAATCAAAACTATTTAAGTTCATAAAATTACAAGATATCGTACAATATTTACACTTTATCAGAAAGGTTACCATGCCATCTAATGCTGAAAATAAGTGTTCTGTGAGGAATATTTTAGGAGACATGCAGAACTATGAATATCTCTAAGGAATATTAAATACCGATAAACCTAAACACACACACATATGCACACAATCACACGCACACACACATACACTCGCACTGCCGCAAAACAAACCTGCGAATCCTCCCGCGCTAAGCATTAACCGAATGCACCCGATTTGTGGAATACCTTATACCCCTACATGATATACGAGTGACCCAACTTACGCAAGCGCAGTGATAATGTTTATGTTTTGAGAAATTGATTAGTGTCGAAAAATGTGAAATTACAAGAGAATAAAGGATTTTATCGAACTTATAGGCGTTAAGGCTCGACGAAGAAAGTAACGGGGTGACAATTCCAGGTAGGTCGTTAAGTTTTAACCATTTTAATTAAAAATTGAAGAAATAGTAAGCAATTTTCGAGTCGTAGTGTCGCCTGGAACAGACAGTAGTAACAACAATCGGTAATGAATTACGACTAAATAGCAAATGTAATCAAACAGATTTAAACAACATGGTAATTTAAAAAGTACATTTTATAGAATATATACTATTTTGAGTAACACTAAACATGTTCGCATCGAACCAAAATAATGAAATGAAATGGGGTTTAACGTCCTTCTGTTTTGCTCCGAACTGGGCTAATGAAGAGGTATCAGGCGTATTCAATACCAGGCTAATTCATTACCGATAAAATCGGCGTATTCAAGACCAGTATATTATAGGGTTGGTTGATCGGTATATAAAGGTGCTAAGTAGTACTCTGTCTATGGGTGTTAATTGATCAATTAAGACAAGACAATAGAAGGATTAACAAGGTATTTATTATATATTTTAAATAGTCATAATACAAACAAGAGTTGAAATATTTAATATTCGAAGACAATATTTACATATAAAACATCGTATGCGATTAATAATAGCCATAGTTTCGTATTCAACTTTGAACTGAGTATTGTGTTAACTTGACGTTACTATTAATATTATATATTTTAAATAATCATAATACAAACAAGAGTTGAAATATTTAACATTCGAAGACAATATTTACATATAAAACATCGTATTCAGTTGATGCGATTAATAATAGCCATAGTTTCGTATTCAACTTTGAACTGAGTATTGTGTTGATGTTACTATTAATATTTCTTTATTTATCACATCAAAAATCAATGTTTTCAGCTGATGCGATTAATAATAGTTCGTAAAAAA